ATAATTCAAGGCAACCCAAGCTGATAATTGCAAAGTCCCCAGTTGCTGAGTAAAAGTGATGCTTAATTAGCCAGCAGGAAAGATCGATTAAGATCCAGCAGGGCATCTCGTGAGGTTCTCTTACATTCCTGGAGGGACTAGATTCTGGCTGTGCCCTTCTGAAGGATAAAATTCCCTTTTCTAAGGAGTTTCCATGAGGTTTTTAGAGTAGATGCTAAGAACAGTAGGTCACACAAATTAAACCCCAACCATAACCCTGCAGATGCTCTTCCTTTTCTAAGCGTGTGCAGTTCAAACATTCTGAATCACATTGCCACCAGGTTGGAGAAAGTTAAAATAATACTCACTTATCCCCAGCTCTCATTCAGTTACCCGTTTCAAGCAATAGGTGGTCAGGAAATATATTGTAAAGGAAAACTTTAATTTCTTCCTCCCCCAAGAAAGTGTACGCATCTGTCAGATCCTCACATCCTAAAATGCACAAATTAGGTCATGGTCTCTTATTTAAAAAAAAGAAATAATGAGCATGATATTCCAACCCAGTCTGGGACTAAAACATCCCAATATGGTCAAAGAATCAACTAAATAAGTCTGATTTAAGTTTTCTATTAGAGAAGAGGATGTGGAAGGAAAATCAGTACCAAAAATCATAATGAAAATTATCTCATATTGCCCAATACCTTCCTGTTGGTAATTCAGACAAGCATAAATGTTTAGCTTTCACCATTTTTTTTAGTTAAATGCAAAAGTATTCAATAAAGGCCAACATAAAAATTCAAAACTAAAAGCAGAATAATTATCTTAAGATACATACATAATCATCAAAACATTTTTATTTCAATAAACTACACTAACTATGCTTGCTGGCCTCCAATTCGATTCAGTAAATATTTATTAAGCTTCTCCCAAGTATAAAGAACTATGATAGGTATGTCTTACCTTGTTAATTTGTACATGATTAAAGTAGATTTTACTGATTACAAATTGCTTTAAATGTTAAGAAGAATAACAGAACTAGTTGATACAAACCTGGTTTTGATTTGCTGAAAGCCCCGTAGAATATGGTCTCTGTGGTCCCTTGCAACAGTACTGAGGTTCTCATTCCGCAAACCTTCTGCCAGGAACTCTTCAGTATCTAAAAGAAAAGGAAAGTTGATCAACAGAAAAGAAGACTAAGGGAGAAGGAGGAAAATCTGAAGGATTAAGAAATGGGTATTTTTTCCTCTTTAAAATTTTACAGTTGCAGAGCAATGGGAATGTGCTTAATGCCACAGAACTATATACCTAATAATAGTTAAGATGGTAAATTTCATATTATATATATTTTACCAGAATAAATAACTAAAATTTTATATATGCTTGTGACATATTCTAATAATTCAAGAGCTTGCTATGTATTTAGAAAGCTATCACATATATTCAACACAAGAAATAACTATTTCCTAAGCCATTTCAAAGAAACATTTACATATTAATTATCACTGATAACATAGGATAGATTGTCAATTTCATAAACATATAAATATTACAAATATTATGTAACAGAAGGTCACAGGCCAATAGAAGCTAGAAAGAAACACCCATAAATAGAGCTGAAATAAAAAATAGAACTGAACTGCAAAAATCAAGGACAAAAGGGCAGGCGTTCAAAGAAACATTAATTAGCAGATGCATCATCAATGAAAATGACAATGCAACCAAGTGTAGGAACCCACATGGAAAAGAAAAATGTGTCCAAGGAAGGAAACTGCAATTAATATGAATATACATTATAAAATAGGGATGTGATGAAAATACGTAATATGAAACCAATCATGTTATGTTTAAGGAAGAAATTGGGAGGTCTACAAATTTTCAAAGATAAAATACATTGATAATAATTACAACTGCCAGAAATACTAGGTACACACTTTATTCTGCATAAAAGGTTTATCATCCCCAAAAAGCATATAAATAATATAGTTAAAATTTTCTACCTCCAAAAATTGTGCCCAAAATATGAAACTGTATCATATATACTATCAAAATAATGCTATGAATTTATACAAAGGGGTTACACAAGCACATGTAAAAATTTGTTTTACATTCACACCATTCAACAACACCAAGCAAAAAATCCTAGATAGCCATCACTAGGACTTTTGATGAGATACAAAGGCCTGGAACTGAAAATTTCATGAAGAACTACCATCAACAACCAAGCCCTGTATTGCATCTATTGTATATGTCATTTAATAGGTTCCTCCATGGTCCTTTGAATTCTAAAGAATGAGGAAATGGGAAGTTGAATTAAAAGGCAAAAAAATCAATGTCATCTGAGATTAAATTCACGTAATACATCATAATAATAGGATAAAGGACAAAAACCACATGATCATCTCAATAAACACAGAAAAAACATTTGACAAAATTTAACAGGCCTTCATGACAAAAATACTCAACAAGCTAGAAATAGAAGGAAGCTTCCTCAAACTGATAAGGAGCATCTACAAAAACAACAGCAGCTAATTTTATACTTAATGGTTAAAGACTAATCACTTTCCCCCTGTTCCTAAGATCAGGAACAAGACAAGGATGTCTGTTCTCACCACTTAAACTCAACATTGTACTGATGATGTTAGCCAGGGTGATCAGGCAAGAAAATGAAATAAATAGCATCCAGATTGGAAAAGAAGTAAAACTATCTCTATTTGCAGATGACATGATCTCAGGTATAGAAAACCCTAAAGAATCTACTAAAAAACTATTAAAACTAATAAAAGAGGCCAGGCGTGGTGGCTCACACCTGTAATCCTAGCTCTCTGGGAGGCCGAGGCGGGTGGATTGTTTGAGCTCAGGAGTTCGAAACCAGCCTGAGCAAGAGC